TTATACAAAGGCTTTTATTTTTATACCCTTGCAGGGTATTATAATTTCAGTCAGAAGTTTGCAACGCAGTGAAGGAGACGTTTCCGACCCTATAAAGTATATATATTCTTAATCAGCCGAGTCGATCTAGCCATGTCCGTTTGTCCGTCCGTCCGTCCGTCCGTCCGTCTGTCCGTCTGTCCGTCTGTCCGTCTGTCCGTCTGTCCGTCTGTCCGTCCGTCCGTCTTCTATATACTCTCACTGCTATATACATATGTCGGAACGGGCCGGATCGGACGACCATATCATATAGCTGCCATACAAATGCTCGATACATTTTTAGAAAAAAATTTATAACTTGGCTGTTTTTAAACATTTTTGCACCATTTTTGAGATATGGCCATTTTATATTATTTCAGAATTTCGATTTTAATTTTATAAAAATCGGACGACTATAATAATAATGCCCATATGATACATTAATGCAGTTTTCATTAATTAGCTACTTCATTAGAACCTTGAAAGAGTCCACTATATGTGTCATTTTCTTGGATTATTTTGGTAAAAGGTAAACAAAAAAAACGGCCGCCATTCGCGGCGTATTACTATGAATTTCTGAATTCCTCGTCGAAGTATTCTTGCATAAATAAATGCAGAATCCTTTAAATGTATGTTTTTAACCTATAATGCTTAAAGTTTTTTTAATTATTACCAAAATAAAAAATGTAATTAATTTTACAGCGCAAGAACCTTGCCATCGCAAAACATATTATTTTTGCTAATTTTTATACCCTTGCAGGGTATTATAATTTCAGTCAGAAGTTTGCAACGCAGTGAAGGGAGACGTTTCCGACCCTATAAAGTATATATATTCTTGATCAGCATCAACAGCCGAGTCGATCTAGCCATGTCCGTCTGTCCGTCTGTCTGTCTGTCCGTCTGTCCGTCTGTCTGTCTGTCCGTCTGTCCGTCTGTCTGTCTGTCTGTTTCTACGCAAACTAGTCCCTCAGTTTTAAAGCTATCTTAATGAAACTTTGCATATAGTCTTCTATATGCTCTCACTGCTATATATGTCGGAACGGGCCGGATCGGACGACTATATCATATAGCTGCCATACAAATGTTCGATAAATTTTTAGAAAAAAAATTATAACTTAGCTGTTTTTCAACATATGTGCACTATTTTTTAGATATGACCATTTTATATTATTTCTGAATTTTGGTAAAAATTTTATGAAAATCGGACGACTATATCATATAGCTGCCATAGGAACGATCAGGAAATTAGTAGAAAAAAAATTATAACTTCGTTGTTTTTTAAACTATTTTTATCTACTCTGAGATATAAGCTTATTTTATTAGTTCCGAATTTTGGTATAAACTTTATGAAAATCGGACAACTATATCATATAGCTGCCATATAAACCGATCGGTAGGTGTAGGGCAAATGTAAAACTGGGAATGTAAAACTGTAACTCTCAAACTCTCAACATAATAAGTATAGGTAAAATGCAATGAAATAATATCTGCAAGGGTATACAAAATTCGGCGTGCCGAAGTTAGCTTCCTTTCTTGTCTAATATATTTTGAGTTCAAAAACCAGCGAAATTATATAAAAATAAACTTCTCATTGTGAGACCATACTGTTAATGAGCTGGCTAATACATTTTTCAATTACAATTTTCTTCATTAAACCCGTATTTTGTTATCGCGTAATGAAATAGCTAATGCATTATTCTAATGCATTAGAGCGCCATATAGTCGTCTTGCTCGCACTTGTGTAAAACGCTATAGCGCTGTCAAATCTTTAATGAAGTCTCTAATTAATGCGGCAGTGTCATGCCCGTATAAGGAATAAGGAACTTGTCCTGTGTGACTAGCGCATTAACTTATAAGTATTTTGTACTTGTTGCGTTAGGAAAAAATCTTCAAGAAAATAATAATAATAATAATATATCATATAGCTGCCATACAAATGTTCGATAAATTTTTAGATAAAAATTATAATTTGGCTGTTTTTCAAGATTTTTGCATTATTGTTGAGATATAGGCATTTTTTTTTATTTTTTTAATTTCGTTTTTAATTTTATGAAAATAAGACGACTATATCATATAGCTGCCATAGAAACGATCGGGAAATGAATAGGAAAAAAATTATAACTTCGTTGTTGTTCAACGTATTTTCATCTACTCTGAGATATGAGCTTTTGTTATTATTTCAGAATTTTTGTATAAATTTTATGAAAATCGGACAACTATCACAGCGAACCGTAGATGAAGAGAAAATGTAAAGCTGCGAATGCAAAACTGTAACTGCCAACACATCATAAGTATAGGCAAAATGTAATAAAACTCTGTTTTGTGTGTTTTTAGCATTTCAATTTATAATATAAATATACAATTTTTATATATTTCCTTTTATTTTTTCATCATTTAGCCAGAATGGCTCGATTTTTAATTATCCATATGCAATCTGCAAGGGTATACAAACTTCGGCTTGCCAAAGTTAGCTTCCTTTCTTGTTTGTTATATTTTCCATATATTTCAATATTAATGAAAACGCCGAAGTTTGTATACCCTTGCGGAATGGTTTTAATGTTTATATTATAGATTTAAATGCTGAAAACACACACAAAACAGAGTTTCATTACATTTTACCTATATTTATTTTGTTTACAATTTGGCAGTTATTCCCAGCAGTACATTTTCTTTACATCTATCGATCGTTTCAATGGCAGCTACATATATGATATAATTGTCCGATTTTCATCAAATTTATATAAAAATTGTGAAATAATAACAAAAGTTCATATCTCAGAGTAGATGAAAATATGTTGAGAATACTTCGATTTATGTTATATTAGATATATTAAATCCAATATATAGCTATTTTAAACGATTTAAAAAATATGCTTTTTTAATTTTATCAAACATAATTTGATTTGTTCTAAAAATTTAATAATTAAAAGAAAAACTAGCACGAGATAGGCTTTTCTTTTCACTTGACCAAAAGGAATCAATTCTTAATTATCCAATTGCAAAAAACAATCTTGTTGTTTATGTTATATTTCATCAAAATAATACAAAAAATCAAGTGTGATTGCAACTAACTGTGATTAAATTTTTACCACTGTTCTAGTAGCAGTTGGTTAATTGGCAGCTTCCATAGCTATCACAGATCGATAACAATATAATTGTTGTTCAAAAGCGCAAAATGCCGCAAAGTGTGTAATTTGTCGATGGAACAAAAAAGAGTAGAGCCCCTGTTGGTGACTGCCTGAAACCAGGCGATATATGAATTCATCAATGGTGTGTTTAAGCAGTTTGTCAGCGCCACGTGTCGGACGACTGCTCTTCGTCCTCCAAGCGGTCTTTTGAATTCTTTTGCTGGGCAACAGCAGGCGGTGGCGGGTGGCTCAACGAGTGCCTTCCGCAGCACATCGATTAGAAACGAGGATGAGGGCGTCGTGTGCCGCCTATGATGATGATGTAAAGCAAGGCGTCCGTTTGTCCAATTCAAAAGCAGCAGCAGCCCAGCTATGTAGCTCTGCAACCAATTCTTTACTTCCCCCAAAAATCGCTGCTGGATACGAGGTGCAGTAAATACAGGGATTTAAACGCTCCGTATTGCCATCGTGTGCTGGGTGGCCACTTTGCCGCATTCCCGTTGTCAACGCAACAACGCAAAATGCCCTTAGAGGACCGAAAGACTCTATCAATAGACTTAAAAATAAATATATATATAAATCGTTTTATTAATTAAATAACATTTTTTAGTAGTTAGAGATAATAACAAAAAAACACCTTTAAGTAAAATTAATTAGGGAAATTTTTTTAAACTATTACAGAAAAATAACTCTCTTTTGAAGATGTCGCAGGAGTATATCAGCAAAACAAAGTTTACAAAACTTTAAAAAACCTGCAATATTATAAAAATTTTATAATTAATTTAGTAATATATATATTTCTGACGATACAATAATAAAGGAATATACCCTTTTTCTAAGCAAATAATACTACGATGCCAATTCGGCACGCTCCTTTGTTAATTTCCCGTGCACACGCCACACACTTACCCATTACCACTTAATAAGCGCAGTTTCAAAGTCCCTCGGCGTAACTTTTCCCATTTTTCTTTTGCTCGATATGATACGCCATTTATTTAAAGTAATATTTCCGTATCCGGTAAATAATTCGAAACGCGTGTTTCACAAAGGTTTTCGCCATTTTTCTAGGGTAGTGTAAATGCATTATTATTTGCACAGATTGCATAAAAAAGGTGTATCAACAGAACGCATAAAATTGCGAAAAAAAAACTTACGATATTTAAAAAAGAAATGCACATAAGCAATATACTAAGTTTAAGGCATAAGTTTGAAAACCGTCCGTCCGTTAATGAGTAAGAACGGCCCGGATCAAGCAACTTGAATATAGCACCATATATTGCTTTACATACGAAGGTAAAATATCCCGCCCTTTTACACAGCAGACACAAAAAAGAGATCATCATGCACAGCCTTATTCATGAACAAATCCCACATACAAAGCACATAATTTTAATTGTTTACTTCAAGGGTAGTCTTAGCGCTCGCTGCTATACGTACTCACCTCGCCGCACCCCTAAGTAGGGTTTTAACTGTGTAAAAACTATTCAGAGCTCCCTACACTTTGTCTTGTAACAATTTTGACCTCTTTTGTTTGGTACAAAAAAACCTGGTCGGCATTTCGCTTTGCGGTTTTTATCTTTCCTTTGTTGTTATTTAAGCTACATTAGGGAACCGCTTTATCTTCCTTTTTCAATTGTTATCAATATCAAAGAAGAAATTCATTGTGATTTGACATCAAAAGTATGGAAAGTCTGTGGGTGACGAACAACTTATTTGATAGATGTAGGCCTTAACGTTAAGAATTTTGAAATATAATTTAAATTGCGTGCCAAATAGTTTATTCCAAGTTATATGCTTACTATATAAAACCGTTATAATATTATGTAACCATCTAAAGCTCAACAATATCAGAAGTACATTCTAAAATCACTTTTATATAGATCATTTTATTTTCGTTTTACAATTTGAAATTTACAGCGTATTTTACAATCAACTTTTGTTTATTTGCTTAATTTAATTATTACATATAAGTGATATTCGATTTTTGATTTCTTAAAACACCAACCATGCGTAGACAACTTTAGTGTTTTGGTTAATCACGGTTATAATTAACATAATGGGTATAATACATACATTTATGATTCTTTTGTAAAATACTTCCTATTCGTATATAATATTCCTACTATATAAAATTGGCTCTATTATTGTCGCGGAACTTACAAAATAGGTTTTATTGTCAATGTAATATGGATCGTACATGTAAATACTGATGATGATTCTAATGAATATAATAGTAATATATTATCACTTCCGTGATCCATCTCTCTGATAAAAATATGTATTTATTCTCTTTTTGAGTAATATTAAATATTATAGTAATTTTTGGGACTATGAAGGCAAGCAGTTTTTAATAGCCATAGGGATAAATGACGTTTAGCTTATAAATGCATATATTTCTGCAATTCTTCACGTAAAGATTAATAGTGATTCAGAAGGAAGACAATTTAAATACGCGGGCAAAACAAATTTGATATGTTTATGCTTGGTGTGAAAAAATTGATTCTTTGTAAATAAATAATATAAAGGTATAGGTATAAAAATAAGTAAATAAGTAAAAAAAATCCCAGATGTATTCACAGTATTTAGTGATCCACGACATGCAGAATACATATACATCATAATATTTTTTATATTTAGGCTGTTAAAAGAGTTTTAACAATTCTCCGTTTTGATACATTCATATTTTCAGATCAAATTACTCTGTATATTCCCTTGACGACAAAATGACTGAAAATATCGGCAACTGAAAACAGCTTATTATATATTTTCATTCATTTAGCGACTCCGAGGTTGAGTAATTCAGTAATTCAGTCATTCAGTCGTCAAGGGAATACTCAGACTATCAGCAGACCAAAGAACATGTTTATTAATTTGATATGGGATCTTCTATTTTATTAATTTTTTGCGATTGTTGGTGTACATTTTCTGGATTCCTTTCACTATATTTTTTAATATGTTTTGGATATCCAAAATTGTAATTGTTTTAAACAGCTAATTTTTTTCGGAGCAGGCACAAATGCATTTATGTACATGTTATAGTTGTATTCTGGAGATTTTAAATAAATTTGTTGTAGTATTGGCTTTGCTTTTTTAATAACTTTTGCCGTTCACGAAGAATCGATAGATATATATTATATCTAAGGTTATGCCTTAGATGCGTTTCTGGGTTCAAGCTCAAGAAGATCTTTTAAAAGCATGCCCCATTTTTGGCCTTTTGATTTGGAATTTTTGTTGGACTCTTCCTGAAGTCTGAAGAACAGTCATGATTGCGGATCGTCGTGATATGTCTATACTTTTCAGATGATTAGTAAAACTTTTGTTTTCTATTTTATAATTAGTAAGTATATGTAGGTACTTTGCGGCTTAAGTCATAATAAATTTGTATTTTATAGGCTTTTTTTTAAAGTGTATTTTGATGTTCGGCAATTTATTATAAAGTGATATCTAATTTGGAAACTGATTGTTGTTGGTAGGAAGCATTTTGTGGTTTTAAGTTTGGAATCCAAATCGTAAAATTATGTATATGTATATAAATATGGTATCTCGTTCGGAAAAATATAGTTTATAATTAATCAAAAGTTCAATCGATCATTAAATTTGCATTGTAGCTTTTGATACCACTTTAAAATTTTTGTTAAAGAAATTTAAGTTTGTTGCTAAATGTGTAGGAATTAAACAACTTTCATGGCTTTTCTTTTACTTTTGGTTTCTAAACAATTATCTTGCATTTAAATGTGATGATTAACATAAAAATATGTATTTACAATGCAATTATTAGCTGAAAATCAAGAAATTGTCTTTTACGTTGGTTAATAAAATTTAAGAGACACCTTATTTTGGTTAACAACTAATAATTGGGCCTTAACAGATACTAAAGCGTAATTAATAGGTACCGAAATCTGAGAATTCAACCTCCAGATGATCAGTTTCTGGAATTATCGTCGCCAGCTTAACATTATCATCGTTTTCTACAGATTTAACAGTATTTTCATCAATTGGCGATTGAGGTATATAGTTATATTCATTGAAAGAATATAGCTGTCGACCTAAATAATTATTGTGATTATATGTTCCTTTATTTCTTTCCGAGTTTAATGGTGATGTCGTTAGCCCTCGTAGAAAACGTCGAAAGTAATTATTTTCCGGCTTTAAAATATTTAAATGAGAGCATATACCATTGTTAGATTTCTATAATATATTAGTATAACAACTTTAACGAAAAATTAAAGTTAAATAGTGAATTTGTTAAACCTAGTTTTACTTGGTTTACTCTCTACCAACAATATTATATAGAAATATATATTTAAGTTAAATAATAATTAGCTTTATTAAGGGGGTCTTCTCATTCAAAAGCCGTTTTTTGGACCCTTTTTAAAAAAATTCTTATTTGAAAACGCAAAGAATAATTGAAAACTTTTTTTATTTATTGTATTCAAAAATGTTCAAAGTAACTAAAAAAGTTGTTCTTGCCTCGATACGAAAGTTCTTCAAAGAGTAATGAGACTTCAGACTTGGTGGTCGAAAAAAAAGGTGTCGTCCTGGCGGCCATGATTCAGGGTCTCCAGAGCGTCCGAAATGAAAAATAAAAACGGGGTTATAATCAGAATAGATGTCATTTTCGGCTGACGGAACAGATTTTTTTTTAAATTTTTAAAACAAAATGGCGGCCATTCAAAAAAAAAAATTCGATTTCGGACGTTTTTTTTTGTAGTTTAGTGTAAAAAAAAAAATAGAAAAAAAATTTAAAAAAAATCTGTTCCGTCAGCCGAAAATGGTGACAATTCTGCGTCGATTCCACTTTGTTTCATGAAAATCGGTTCCGTTGAACTGGAGATATCATGGCCGCCAGTTCGAAAAACGTGGTTTCGAGATAAACGCGTTTGAAGTTTGAAAAATGCTCATTTTGCATAGATCTTGCTTCACAAAAAAGGGTGTATCTTCTAAAGTATTTCGAATTTCTAAAAATCCTTTTGGGGACATATACAGACCATCCCAAGCTATAAATAAATGCAAAAAAAAAAAAATCGAAAAAAAAAAGTTGCCCAATGAGAAGACCCCCTTAAAAACTCAAATTACCTCTTTTAAAAGTGATCGATTTCGCTCTCGAAAATGTGATTTTCGAATTGGATAAGTCCTTGGTATACCGATGGTACTATGATCTCTTTCGGCCATTAAATCGCTTGAAATCCGAGCGGCACTGTCTTCTCCTCGATTTAACTGACCATTATTGCCATATCTTCCCGAAAATATACTCTTAGCATTTTCTTTTTTACTTTGGTATTCCTTGGCATTGTAAGATGGTAATGATAAAGCTCCGATGCGGCGCGTGGTTGCTCGGTTCCCAGTTCTGTGATTATTTTTATTATTCATTTTATCGATTTGCCAATTTTGATCATTTGATATTGACATGCGATTAGCGTTTTTGTTGCTAAATTGATAGCTGTCACCGACGGGGCTGCGGTTTTGATCCATCATAATTGATTCGGAGGACGTGCTGTCTGAATATGGAGGATTGTTGTTGACAAATATGCTGGAAGTGTTTAAAAATTATTTTATTCGTCAAATTTAATTTGTTTTCATTAATCCATACTTTTTTCCATTGGCTATTTCTTTCAGAGCAGCAGCACGTGCTGCCATTTCCTCATCCTTACGTTGCTGTGTTAATTCCTTAGCCCGTTCTGTCCATATTAACTCTTTAAGCTTTTGAAAACTTCCTTGTATGGCCACGGAATTTTGATTATCTTTATTATTAGTTCCAATTGCTACATTTTCGTTTCTCATTCCGCCAACATAACGATTTTTATTCGATCTTCTTGATGAGGAGGCTGCAGAAATTCCAATTTGTGGGCGAATCTCAGAGCCATAAAATCGAGTTTGACTTGTCCCTGGAGGAGGATTACTCGACCCAAATTCCACCAGTCTCTCTCTCTGATGGTGGTCCAAGGGAGATATTGGCATCCGTTGAGGCAAACTTGGCTCTCGACTAACAACCCGACCAAACACAGGCGATCGTGTTCTTTCCCTACTGCCCATCCTAAGTCTGTTTAAAAATAAATTTAAAATAGGATTTTAAAATAGATTAGAAATGTAATGCTGAGAAGTCAAAACTGATCTTCAAACTTCTGGAAAAAAAAATATATAATATCCTGCAAGGGATAGGCAAATAAATAATTAAACTTACGATCCCAACATTCGTGAGTTTAAATAAAGTGGCTCCCAAACATTATACGTAAATGGGTCACGATACGTTGGTATTTCATTTGTGATCTCTGCCGCTCTGGATTGCCTCTTAGAAAATCTTCAAAATAAATATTAAATAATTGTAAAATTTGTAATTCCTGATCCAAGACCGTTAGTTGCGAAACCCTTACATCCACATAGCGCGCAATTGTTCACATGTTGGCTCTTGTGAGTTCAGGGAGAATGTTTTTGGCACAAAGACTTCACCAACTGTTCGAACGCCACCCGAAGTGTCGTCTGTTTTGATCGCATTTTCCTTATTTAAAGTTCTATCACGACTGCGAGAAGTGCCAATATAGTTGGCATTTCCATATCGGAGGGTTGCCAAAATGACCAATACATCAATTTGTATATACTTGATCTGTAGAAAAATAGTTCATTTAAAATCTACTTTTAATTCAGGCTACTTTAAATTACGCATATGCAATGTAACATACATTTTAAAGAATTTTTATACATACCAATAGGCAATTGTAATGCATTTTTAGAGGTTTATTAGAATCTCAAAGTAGTCACTGAATAGAAAATCGCCCCTCTGGCTAGCATTTGATTGATATGTAGGTTCTATTTAAAAAATATAAAACACACACAGTTATATCTGCACTAAAAAATGTTCAATTTCAAAAATCATGCAATTCGTAGAAAGAAGTCAAATATTGTACAAAATTTGCCTATGCTCATTAGTGTTATTACTATGAATTTGTGCTCAGAATTTAACAAAACTTTTGTGAGTTTTAAATTTTTTACATATTGTGCTGCCATATGATTTTTTTTTATTATATATGAGACAATCTAAGAATACCAACAGACCAGTAGCTCCAGAATTATATTTATTCCCGGTAGGAACCCATAGTGTTCGTAGGTATTATAGCTTAGACTTCTATGACCTCATAAAGTATATGTATATTTTTAATCAGCATCACGAAGTTCACACAAAATATCAAGGACTACACTCAGAAAATAGCCTACGGGTTAGATTTCCGAATTTTCGTGAATCAAGCACACTTTGATCACAAAATGTATTAAAATTTGATTGTTCTTCTGATAAAGTACTTTACCAAATTTGAGGATACTTTTCATTTATTGCACGCAGATTATATTTCAATTTTCGTCGATGATGGGGACTTTTTGCTTTCGAATTAGCAATGTACAGACCAAGATCTCTCATTATCAGTCGCGATGACTTTTGTTTTTTTTTTGTCAGCAGTGTTATTGATGGGTCAGTTACACTTATATTATTTTTGGAAATCTTATTTAGCCATAAACTAAATTGACTTACAATTTTAACATTCTCTCTGACCGCCCCCCTCAATGAGAAGACTAACCAGTCTACGCAAACTAGTCCTTTAGTTTTTGGGCTATCTGAAAAAAAAAAAATCTTTCTTTCTAGTATATAAGTCTGAACGAGTCGGTTTTGACGACTATATATATAGCTGCCATTGGAAAATGTTTAGAAAGCAAGAAAGGAAGCTAACCTTGAACGCCGAAGTCTGTATATCCTTGTTGTTTGGAGCAGTAAGAATTAATCAATTTTTGTTTTTTGTTTTTTTTTAGATATATAAAATATGTATATTTATACATATAATATAAATATTTTACTTTAAAATATTAGTTAACAAAATTACCTTCCCTTTTTATTATAAACAAAAACTGTCAACTATGACTATGACTTGTCATTCATGTTAAAAATAAAGGTTCGTTAGAATATTTATTGTGCATTTAAAAAGTGCAGGTGCCGTGCTCAATAATCGTCTAAGAGTGCAATAAAGTTTAAATAATGGTGCAAGTTGATCGTGTGCTCTCTGCCATAAATTAGTTCGTTTACTTTTCCTGCATTTTGGATTTTTTCTTCCAATTATGTAATTATGCGCGTTAAATTTGATGCAAGGGAGCGTTTGCATTTTGAATACTGCCATGGATGCCTATAGAAAATCCACGAATCAGAAAAAGGAGGTTTCATCTCGCTGAAAGATACCATACACCTTTTAATATCTAATAATTAAAGAAAATAACACAAAAAGTTTTTCCTTTAATTTTTTTCTGTCTTTTTTTTCATTTTTTTTTTATTTGTGATAAAATTATGATTTCATGGATTTCATGCTGGGTTACCTTTACTTATTAAATTTCTGTCAACGAAGTTTTATCAATTTAATAATTATTAATTTATTTATTTTGAATATACACAAAAACATCTTTAATATTTAATGAAAATACAATAGAACTAACGAGCAAATTATATTCTTAAACAGTCTTGTGTGTATGCATTTCATGAATGAATTTCATGTACTCTTGTACCTGTATTACATTTTTTTTAAGAAATAATAAAGGACTTGAGGACATGCGCAGAAAAGCTATCCATCCTCAACAAGCTTCAGAGATGGTGAATAAATGTATATACATGTTTATAATGTATATTTTAAAACATGTTTCTTATTACGTTTTCGAAAAGCAAACACATACATATACTGATCAATGAAGTTTCTGGAGTAAATTAATAATGATTTTGTTTAAATTATCTATAACAGTTAATGGTTACCGGGTTCCTTTTAGGAATTATTTGTACTACGACGTTTCCAAACACTCTACGTAAACTGAACTAAACGTTAAATGGAGAACTTGAATGGGAAATAGCTTGTGTTAAAAGTTCTTTACTCGGCATGCCATTGTGTTCAGATGTAGCTTTGGTGGTCCGTGCAAGCTTATCCTTGCGATAGTATGTATATTTCATTATAAAAGCTCCATAGGGTAAACATTTAAATGCTAAGGGTGTGTGCTTTGGACTTGAAAGCTACTGAAGTGGATGCTAGAATTCCTAACGGGTTCTTGTTGCATCCCCGTGGTAACATCACGGCCAAATACAATGCACTAAGCCTAAGTTTAACTATATATTCAGTGGTAGTCAAAAGTATTTACATAACGAACATGTATTTTTTCAGTGGTTGTTCTTTTTGCTGTTGATCTATTTCCTTAAATAGTTTTAATCGCGTAGCTTGAAGATCAACCTGAAATAGAATGCGAAATAACGCTACATTGGACAATGATAAAAGCAAAAGAGTAGGAGCATGTAAGTTGTCAAAAGTATTTACACCATGGCACGTAATTTTTATAAGTGAAAAAATTAAAATCAGTGTTTTATGATTATCTATTTATTTTATATTTACTTAATCGCTCAAAGAATATTTTTTTAATTTTCAGGCCTGCTCCGGTAATCGGAACATTTTTTCGTTTTTGGCGAAATCGTTCGTTTTTCTGCTCCGGATTTCGACAATTTTTTGCTATTGGAATGTTTCGTTTTCTCATCGTTTCTTACTGCTTAATACTGTCTTCCCACTCAGCGCATTTGTGAGGAACGGTTGGGATTTTTTAAAAAGTGAAGCTCGTGTTCCCACAGAGCTGCGTTAAAGTGCATCCGCATCCGAACAGCTGATCGATCAGCAGTGGCTCATGAAAACGTAAACAATAATGGCTGAAGCGGGCGATGTGGGAGTAAAATGAATACTTTATCAACTATTTCGGCTGTTTAACAATAGCAAAACCACAGATTGCGTCAGAATTTATCCGCACTAAATTTAAATGAATTAAATGACAAGGAATTTTAGTTTCTCTAATGATTTTTCTCTAACAAAGAGCAAATTCCCCGAAGAGTGTGTATAGGTGATATAGGCATTCAAAATCTTTAAAATAAGGTAGAGGTAGGCGGTTTATATTAAATATTAACAATTGGAGACATTTTGGGGCAAGAATATACAGAAAAACACCAACAACTAATTTGGGCATGTTTATAGCTTTGGCGCCACATTTTAAATTTTATTTTTCAATTGGTTCTCGCCAACTTTGTTTACATTTTCATAGTGTTGGTCATATTTCCACTGTTAAGAAGAAGAAATCAGAGTTGCACTGAAAAACAAACCGTTCTTAGACTTAGATGAGTTCTAACCGCGGTCCATTTGAGAAAATTCGGAACCGCAAAACCTTATCGACCGTTTGTTCAACGGACGGTGGATGTGCTTTGACGGTGTGTGGGAAGACCCTATAGCTCCAGCATTTTTTGCTTTTTCCTGGCTTCGAAATAAGCTATTGTAAACATACAGGCCTGCTCCGGTAATCGAAAATGGCAAGATTTTTTCGTTTTTGAAAACGAGAATTTGTGCTCCGGTTTTCGAAAACGAAAGATTTTTTCGATTTGAAAAACGGGCACCTTTTTCTGGCCGGAATGAAAAGTAAATGGCTTCATTTATATGAAATCAGTTCATATTTACAAAAGGAAAAAAATAGTATACTCAGTGGTCTATTGATGTTTATTCCACACCATGATAGAATTATACAAGGTAGTCTCGTCGGGTCCCAAATGTTCGAGTTTTAGGGCTTATTTTGACAGCTCGTGTTTATTCATTGAGATAAACTCAATGGGTTGAGTAGATTGTGTGTACACATTTTATTCCTGTCAATCCGAGTTAATAAAAAAATAAAATAAAATGTCTTACTGCAATTTTTGTGGCACAAACGTTAAAGCAAACTTAATAAGAACACCTAAATGTGAATTTCGGCGAAAGATGTGGGAGCAAATTCTTAAATGCAGGCTTGAAAGAAATACTAGAATTTGTGATACGCATTTTAATTCTTCACAATGGAAGATACCTAGTGAAGAAAGTCCTGCTAAAAGAAGGCGACTGATCCGTGATGCTGTTCCGGAGAAGCCTGAACCAGTGGAAAGATTAGGCTACGCCAACGCAATCTCGCAGACAGAGTAAGTTTCCCGTGATCTTAGTAAATACTTAATACAAGCAAAATATTTGTATTGAAGGAATAAAGCAATACCATCGTCAATACTTATGGAGAACAAGACCCTAAGAAACCAGATTTGTATATTGAAAAATAAAATGGTTTCATTACGCCAGCAGGTTAATAACTACAAAATTATTAAAATTTAAGTTATAAACAAGGCAACTGGTTTAATGAAATGGAAAACGTTTAATTTGGGACCTTTATTTATAAAACTCCACTTCAGACGGTGCGGACGGTTAAAAAAAACTGCCCTGGAGACGGTTGCCGATGAGCACCCGAAATTATGATAGAAAAACCAAAATAAAATTGAATTAAATCTTATAAATATAGTGTGTTTAACACACATTTCAATCAAACTTTGAGACTATACCCGTCTCACGCACACTTTGATGAGCCGAACTAGGGCTTATTTTTTCCGACGAGACTACCTTGTATAATTCTACTATGTTCCACACCACCACTAGATCATTCTGGCAGCTTTTATTTTATAAAAAATTTATTTCTGACCCCATCTCAGATTTGACAGCAACATTTTTGCCGTGTTCAAAAAGTTTTCTCGTTTTGGCGAAAGGGCGATAAGTCCATCGCAAAAAATTTTCGCCAAGGTTGCCATATTGTTGGTGGAACAAAACAGCCAGTTAAAAATACTTGTAAAATATAAAAGAATACATTAATGACTTTAAAGGAGCGCCAAAATTGTTGTTTATAAATAATGCTAATTAATTTGATTTCTTAAATGGTCAAAATTGACCAAATAATTAATTGAGACCACCGAAATTATAACTGTAAAAAATGTGGCAGCCCGCTCTTGTCAAAAACAACTGTTTTAAGTTGAATTCATTTTTTAAATATAAGTACACAAATATTGATTGCTTATTTTTAATTAAACACAGAGCTATTATTTTCAGGGGAAAGCACAAATCAACTTTCCAGGATGAGGTCGTCCCGGAGCTTATGATTTGGCAAGGCGGTTTAGTAAGGGCGACAAGGTGGCTTCAGAGGCAAAGTGGGCTGAACTTTGCTGCGCCTTGAATGACATTGGCCCTCCGACCAAAGATGCTGCATCTTAGATGCCTATATTTTCTTAATTGCAGCAATTTCTGCCTCCACCTAGCTTCAAAACACGCAATTGAACATATAAAAGGCATTTTTATATTTTTTTTTACTTTTGACTAAAATCACAAAATCAGCTGTTTGAGCGTAAGAGACGATGAGAAAACGAAACATTCCGATAGCAAAACGATAGCAGAAATTTCTCGAACACCGGAGCAGCTAAAAACGAAAACGAAAAAATTTTACGATTACCGAAGCAGTCCTTTATGGTTAGGAATTAGATTCTTTATAATTACCAAACAAAAATTTTAAATTTCTAAGATGTGTATAATTTTATTTTTTTATGTTTTATATATATAACAATCACGGTTTCCTTATTGTATTAATATAATATACTTTCTCAAGGTAGTCCAAAAAAGTTACGCTTAAAGAAAGCTCTACATCAGAGTATAGTAAATCAATAATTTCTATATGTAAATATGTAAGTACATACATAAAAGCGTATATATGGGCAACAATATTGATATGTAACAGTATTGTGGTATATTTTCTAGTGAATAAAAATGAGTGAAAACATCAAGGCTGTCGTTCGTTGTCGGCCAATGAATCGAAATGAAATTGAAAGTAAATTTGAAGTAAGTTTAATGAAATTTCCAATTTATTGTAATTATTTAAAAAGAAAAATTATAAGTAATTATAAAAACGTATATCTTAGAACATTGTGGATATTAAAGACTACTCGGTTTCGGTGCTAAATCCATTGGCACGTCTTGCTCAAAAAAAAGTATTCACATTTGATAGTGTTTATAATATGAATTCAAAAACGGAAGCCATTTATAATGAAATGTGCTATTCACTAGTGGAGAGTACTATTGAAGGATATAACGGAACGATTTTTGCATATGGCCAGACAGGTTGTGGCAAAACACACACAATGCAGGTAATATAAGACTTACGAAACATTTTATACCCTTGCAGGGTATTATAATTTTAGTCAGAAGTTTGCAACGCAGGGAAGGAGACATTTCCGACCCTATAAAGTGAATATATTCTTGAACATCATCAACAGCCGAGTCGATCTAGCCATGTACGTCTTTTTCATCTACTTTTTATTATTTCAGAATTTCCTTATTAATTTTTTGAAAATCGGAGGACTATATCATATAGCTGCCATAGGAACGATCCGAAAATGAAAAGACAAAAATTGTAACTTCATCTACTCTGAGATATAGGCTTTTTAAATTGCAGAATTCGGTATTAATTTTATGAAAATCTGACGATATAATGTTTATTGTATTAAATATTTCATATCGTAACTTCATTTTAAATTATACTATTATACTTTTTTTTTAATTTTATTTAAATTAAATTACTATATGCTAAGTATAAGTATACAACTTTTATATATTGGCTATTTCTTGTATTAATGGAACCAGAATAAATCCATTCTCAATGATCCAATTGTAAACTGCAAGGGTATTCAAACTTCGGGATGCCGAAGTTAGCTTTCTTTCTTGTTAATATATAATATTATATAATATATAAGGGTACTGGAAATATGGAGAATACAATGAGGGATGGAATCATACCAAAATGTTTTGATCATATATTTGAAGCAATATCCATGGCAACCAATGTTAGATACTTGGCGTTTGTAAGTTATTTCGAAATTTACAACGAGAATATTCGTGACTTGCTTGTGACGGCAAGCGATGGTTGTGTGGTTAATCATCCGCTTAAAGATATACCGGGCATCGGAGTTACAGTACCAACATTAAGTTCCCAGCCTGTTATTAATGCAATGCAATGCTATCGCTGGTTAAATGTAGGCAACCAAAATTGCATAACGGCAGCGACATTAATGAATGAAAATAGCTCACGATCACATACAATATTTACCATTACTTTGGAGCAATCACACAATTTTACTAAAAATATTACATCAGAAGATGCAGATCTTGATCCTGAGATCCTGCGAGCAGGAATACGGCGAGGAAAATTAAATCTGGTGGACTTGGCCGGTTCGGAAAGGCAGGGCAAGACGGGAGCTCAGGGAGAACGCCTTAGAGAAGCAACTAAAATTAATTTATCACTTTCGGCTTTAGGAAATGTTATATCATCGTTGGTTAATGGAAAAACCAAATATGTGCCATTTAGGGATTCGAAACTTACACGTCTTCTACAGGTAAGAATAATATGAATTACAGATTACTACTATTTTTTTTAGGGGATTACACACCCATGTAGGATTGATATATATCTTGCTTTACATGCGCTTAATAACATTTCACAAAGCTAAAATAGTTAAGGTAAAAATAAACGTGAAAAGACGGTTGAAAATGAATATTAAATTTGAACCATTCAGGCCTGCTCCGGTAATCGTAAAATTTTTTCGATTTCGTTTTGGGCGAAAACGAACCGTTTTCGTTTTTAGCTGCTCCGGTTTTCGGCAAATTTCTGCTATCGGATGTTTCGTTTTCTCATCGTTTCTCACTGCTCAAGCAGCTAACTTGTGTTGTTGGTAATAAGCAAACAACGTAAAGTACTGCCTATTATATTTACAATTGCCCTTTTTCTAAGCCAGAAAAAGGCAAAAATTGTAGAATTAAGCAAATCCAGGCACCTAAGATGCTGCCACACTTTTCACAGTTTTAATTCCGGTGGTCTCAAATAATTATTTGGTAAATTTGGACTATTTAAGTAGTAAAATTAAATAGCATTAATTATAAACAACTATTTTGGCGGTCCTTTAAAATTATTAATGTATTCATTTATATTTTATAAGTATTTTTAACTGGCTGTTTCGTTCCACCAACAATATGGCAGCCTTGGCGATAACTTTTTGCGGTGAACTTATCGGCCTATCGCCAAAACGAGAAAACGGGTTGAACACGGCAAAAATTTTGTTGTCAAATCTGAGGAGGGGTCAGAAATAAATTTTTTATAAAATAACTACCTTCCAGAATGATCTTGTGGTGGTGTGGAATAAACATCAATAGACCACTGAGTAAACTATTTTTTTCCTTTTGTAAATAAGATCTGATTTCATATAGAAAAAGCCATTTACTTTTAATTCCGGCCAGAAAAAGGTGCCCGTTTTTCAAATCGAAAAAATCTTTCGTTTTCGATTACCGGAGCACCAATTTCTCGTTTTCAAAAACGAAAACGAAAAAATCTTGCCGTTTTCGATTACCGGAGCAGGCCTGATTAAGTCGTAAACATATTTAGAACCTAAAATATTTGTTTGCATACTTTTAGGATTCCTTGGGAGGAAATACAAAAACCCTTATGATATCATGCATCTCTCCATCAAGCATAAATTATGATGAAACAATAACGACACTGCGCTATGCGAGTAGAGCTAAGAAAATTGCAAATAAACCGACAATTAACGAAGATCCCAAAGATGCCAAGATACGACAGTATCAAAATGAAATACTATATTTAAAAAAAAAGCTGGAAGAAAAGCAACAAAATATTGATAACAGAACTGATGAGAAGTTAGGTATAAGGATTTCAAATAATGCTAAGAAAGACCAAGAAGCCGCTGAAACTACCATTGCTGAAGCGATGAACTTAAAGTCAATCTTACTTGATCAATCAAAAGAAGAGGAGATACAATTTCAAGCACAAAATCGCATTGATCTTATTAAACGAAGTTTAATTGGAGGTGAGCGTGTTGGTGATTTAAAACTTAAGGAACAGCATAAAGCCCGTAGAATTGCTGCTCAACGTCATTTAAATGCAGTGGCAAATGCCCTAAACCGTGTGAATTATGAGGATCGCGACCTTTTACAAGGTCATTATGCTAATATTGCCCAAGAGATAAATATTAAAAATGAATACATTCAAAATTTACAACAAAAAATTAAAATGCTTGAAATGGAAGTTTCGGATTTGAATTCAGAGTTTCAGCTTGATCGTGAGGATTATTTGGATGAAATAAGAAATCTTGGACGTTGCATTAAGTTTTACCAACAATTAGTTTACAAATTTGGTTCAATTTTACGTAAAAATTATAAAAACTGGTAAGAAATCGAGGCCACAATAATAATTACTTATCCAAATGTTTACTAATAGGTCTCCGGATATTGTAATGGAGCATTCAACATGGAATGATGACCTGAAAACTTGGAAAATTCCTGACAACTGTTTGTTAAAACTTCCACCGACTAATATTAATTCCGATAATCATCGAATATATAGTTCGGCAGGAATTAAGAACAGTTCAACAAACTTCAAGAATGATGAAAAGATGATTTTTGAACATGTAAATATTTATGTTTATTTGTATAGAAAATTTAATTCCTTTGTTTTTCATTATACATTTTTTATTAAAGGATAACCTTAACCTATCAAAAGAAAAGTATAACGTCGATGTTCTCAAAAACTACTTTCGCACATCTCGTCCAAACAATAATAAGGAACAATTCCGAAAAAATCCCAACTGCATCAAATCAAATATTAAACAACAGTATGTATAATCATATTATATTATATACATTTTGTTTAAACAATACAATATTAATATACAAAGTAATGGTCTTATGATACTGTAATGCCGCAAAATTACCCAGCGGTAGGCCACTGTCTATTGTTGGATCTGCGACACTATCACCCACCCTAGCTGTGCCGATCTTGGGCAGGCCAACTCACGTATCGCGGATCGCATAAAAGATCTCGCCGGATTAGATTGGACGTGCCCAAACTGCATTAATTTCAAATACGATATGAGGATTTTTATGAGGCAAACTCATCTTGAGTTTCAGTCTCTGCCGGCTGGATTCAAGGAGCTATCCAGACGTTTTCAGACGGCGGAGTCCCACTTCAAAAGTGTGAAATTGCCAAGTTATTCACCTAATATTAACTTGAGCACTCTGCCTAATAATTCTCAGCATGTTCCAGACCCTGCGAGCCCCCTTATGCAGTTCAGCCCACGAAACATATCGACGGATGTCACTTTGGCCGTGACTGACGACTCTTGCGATGCTGCAGCACCTGGATCAACTCGAACTGCGGCTCTTGACTCTTTATTTGCCGATGTCGCCGCACCCTCGAATCGACAGCCCTTGAATGCTGACCAGGCTTCCACGTCGCGATCTGCTGCTTCTACTGTCTCGGGGGTGGGCAGCAACAATGACGCTCATCCTGTGATACCGGTGATCTCTACTTCTTCGTCTCCAACTCCTAGATCACAACACTCTACAATCTCGGGAGTTGCTCAGCGAAAACCGACGTTACTTGCCGGTGTTGCTCCTAGGAAGATTGTTTTTGTTTCCCGCCCAAATTCTGAAGGTTCCGAAAATGACGTGCAGCAAGCTAAATGATTTTGATACTGATCCAATTTTAAACAAAGACGCGATATATCTGCGTTTAAAAATGCACTTTCTATAGGTGTCTTGGATAGGGTTCTTAATCCTTCCGCATGGCCTGAACATGCCATAGTTCATGAATTCATAAACAAAAATATTCTTGCCTTCATAAACCTTATTGATTCGTTTTTAAAAACTTAACAAACTACACGTTAATAGTGTTTCTTTTAATGCCGACGTAATTGTCTTTACGGAAACGTGGCTTAACTTCGTCTGTCTGTGTTACTTACTCTTTTCAGGAATTCTTTTGTCTACCGGCGCGGCCTTCACGTATCGGTGGCGGTGTTCTTATCAATTATGTACATATAATAATTATCGCTTATTTCATTTGATGTCCTTAGATTTTAATGCAATTTATTGTATTACGTCACCTATCCTTACCTCTGGACACCTGATGTGAGTCGGAGCACATCTCTAAAAACACTCCCTTCTTCGGTCAGAGGTAAGGATATGGTAATGGATATGGCTTTACATGGCAGTCATTTGCTATTTTCTTAATAAATAAATAAATAAACAAAAGGTTAACAATAAAAACGGCTGCAATTCGCAGCGTATTACTATGAATTTCTGAATGTAACTTATATAGTCTTCTGAATTCAGAACGGGCCGGATCGGACGACGATATCATATAGCTGCCATACAAATGATCGACAAATTTTTAGAAAAAAATTATAACTTCGCTGTTTTTTAACCCGACGCACGGACAGCGAACGATGAGCGGCACCTGACCGCCACCGCGAAGTATAGCTTCACGACAGTCCTTCGGGACCCTCCTTTTCTGTTCCCTTTGTATATTTGTATTTATATCTATATTTTATTTAAATAAAAAAAACCTTCGCCCGCCTCAAGTATGCCGGCGATAGCCATGTTTGTTTTCCTACAAAATTGTAAGGGCAGAAAAAAAAGAAGCACGAAATAACATTTAAAACCCTTGCTGTTGAACTTCTCATTGTTCTCAACCTTTTTTTCCTGACGCACCCTTCCCTCGCCTGTAACGGTTCGCAATTCGCAGAAACCGCCGCAGCCGAGAAGTCCCCTTTTCTTGGCTGCCTCTTTCCCCCGACTGCTGCGAGTTGCACGTTTGGTTTTATTCCTTCACGAGAATCCGCCGCAGCCGAGAGATTCCCGTGCCACGCCCAACGCCCGCCTATATTTTCTCTTGCGCCCACGCAGTAACCAGCCAAAGCGGTCCCGTTCCTGTTGCCCGCCCTCTAGTCTCCGCATCCAGCCGGAACCTGGCGTACGTGCCCAGTTGACCTCCACGCCCTGTCCCAGATGGACCTGGCCACGCCGCGCGAGTGACAGCGCAGGCAGCTTTTAACAGGCTGGTCGGTAAAGCAGTTCGCCGATTCCAACGAGCAGTGCACGTGTCTGAACCGCTAGCTTGCAACAGGCTGGTCGGTAGGGCAGAACCTCCCCGGTCGGCAAAGCAGGGCGCGACCATCCGCCGGGGCCGACCAGAGGGCCAACCATAAAATCAAATCCTCCTGACGAAAAGCATTATAATGTTCCCCATGTAATTCCCAGTGTGTTTACGGTCCGCTCACAGGAGTTCCTTCTGTCGGTTCCATCCTAATCTACAAATAAACTTGTATAAGTTCCCTGGCAATGACTGAGATCTATCTTAGCCAGAGAGCTTCGTTACGACTTACAGATAATATTACGCAAAAAACATATTCAGTGGTATGGTTTTATCTTTAGATGATAGATACATTTTTAAACTGTTAACCAAACTTCAGAACGGAAGTTTGGCTTATGCTTGTACAGGTAAATAATAATTTTTTTCTGACTAAAGTAGTCAATAAAAGCTGAAGCCGATAAAAGCGTGGTTGCATGGATCTTTTCTGAACCAGAATCAACTTTCATCGACTGCTATAACATGTTGGCTGCACCATCCAATCCGTTATTGCATCTCTGAGGCATCTAAAGTTGTGAAATGGCACAGGTTCCAATTTATTATAGGCCACAAATGCTGAACCTATTACAAATTTCCTTAAAATAGGCATATTGCTTATTTTTATACCCTGACTGAAATTATATTATATTGTAACGAAAGCCGCCCAAATAGAGCTTTCGATCCTCAAGCCAGTTGGCAACGCGAGCAGCTACGCAATAAGGCACAGAACTCAAAACGAGCTAAGCTGCGCAATCCTGAGAATCTGACAGCCAGGATGCCTGGTCTCTCTGATTCTTCTCTTGTTCTTCGCCCGACTTCCTGAAAAACAACACGCCGAGTTTTGGGCAACAATAAATCAAGTTACGAAATATACTCGAAATACTCGTGTTCATTGGATGGCTTAGACGGGGAAGTTGGCAGAGGAGAGTTCCGCTCGGCTTTCCGTAGTGATCTCGGCCGGCACCTCCTACGCCCGGCCGAAATTCGTTACATTGGTGCCAGATGTGGGGTCCATAGGGTTTGCGAAAACCCTGACCTACGAAAATGCCGAAGAACTCCGCTCGCCACCGCCGTCAAGCCTCCCCTGAGGGGCATAACCAAGAGGAACCGCGGGATGGTGCCGCTGCGCTGGACGCCGTGGCTTCCTTCCGGCTGCTCGAGCGAAAAATGGAGAACATGAATCAGTAGTTCGCGGAGCTGCCGCCCACATTCGACGGCACCCGTCCCTGGCCGGAGTTTCAGCGCCTCCTGGACGACATGGCCGAGGAGAACCATTGGTCAGAAAGGAAGAAGTGCAGGAAATTGTACACGTGTCTTCGGGGGCGTTCCCAGCGATTTCACGCCACCCTCCCCGAAGCTACCCTCCGCTCGTATGAGGCCATAACGGCTGCTATGCGCGAGTATTTCGCGGTCAGTAAGCATGCCGGCTATCACGCCGTCCACAATCGCATGCAGGGACCGCGAGAGTCGCTCGAGGACTTCGCCCTGGAGCTGGAACACTTGGGCAGATGCGTGCTCGGCGAGTTGCCGGCTGCGACATACAACAGCATCATAGTGCAGCGCTTCATCGACGGGATCAGAGAGACCGGATATCAAGTCCCGATCATCAGCAGCAATCCGCGCTCGCTGACAGACGCCCTCGACATGGCCTGCCGCATCGACGGCCAGTGCCGACGACGCTTAACCGCTGCCGTGATGACCGTCGCTGCCGTGGACCCAGACGATCCCGTTGGCGCAACCCGGAGAGTAAACCCCTTCCGGAATACCGTGTCGTCCTCGGGAAACTAGCTGCCGTCAACCTCTCGGGGCGGAGGCTGACAGCCAACACCGACAGCCCCAGCGAGCGTGTGCTCGCCGCCGCCCATCTACAGCTCGCCCTCAATCCCGGATTATTGGAGCGGGTCCCCACCCCTGCGACCCTGCGCCACCGACAGAGTCTTCCTCCCAGTCGAGTCGAAGCTGTCCTGGCCCCCTTGCTCTCACCGCCGCCGCTCGAGCAGAGTGCCCAGCAGCCACAGGACCTTGAGATCGCCGCAGCTCCGAACGCCTCGCAGCACCTCCACGAGAAGCCGCCGCCAACCGAGCAACCGGGCGCCCGACACAGTCTTCCTCCCAGTGGAGTCGAAGCCGTCCTGGCCCCCTGGTTCTCAGAGCCGCCGCCCGAAGTCTCAGGAGTTAGAGTTTGCCGCGATCTGGGAAACCGTCACAGTGCCCCGGCCAAGTGGCTTTCTGAGCACCCCCACCCAAGAAGCTGCCGGAACGGGAACCCCTGCAAGGGAAGCGCCGTCCGCCAGCGCACATCCGATCCAGGAGCTGCCGTCCATCGAGATAGTCTCGGGACCGCCGCCCTCCGCCAATAGAGCGATCCGGACTGCCGCCGCCGCCGAGTCCTACGGGACCACATCGCCGCCGCCTGCAGACGGAGAGGAATCGGACGTGCACGCAGTGGACTCCGCCTTGAGCCGATTATTCGCCGAATACTCATCCGGAGACCCACCGCCAATCCCCCTAACTACGGGAAAACAACGGAAGACTGGAAATTCTAAAGCTGAACGTTGCGGGATTCAGTCTCCGCCCGCCCAAGCTACGTATACCTGTCGTGCCGTGGGTGGCCCTCACTTACACTGCTTAATCTTTTTACAGAAGCAGCCTTTACGCCTGATCACCGGGGCCGCCGTCTCCCTACTAAATGGAAGGAATCTGCAAAAACGACTGCCGACCACCCCGTGCCGAGTGACACTTCAGTTACCATCAGCGGAACAATTCGTGGCCACCGCTCGAGTCAACGCCAGACTCGAAATTGCTGGAAGGCCGGTTACCCACGAGTTCTTGCTGGTGGAGGGCAGCACTCCTAGCCATCTGGGCATGGACTTTCTGCTGCGATACG